CCAGCCAGGAAAAAAATTAAGCCCAGGTAATAAAATTTTCTGTGGTAAATAGTAGGTAAATAGTAGGCTCACAACATAACTTTTCGCATCTCGAGCCACCTCACACATGAGGAACAGAGCTGGATATCTCATAATCTCAGAATCTGTTGTTTTGCTTTGCCCAGAAGTTACGGTGGCCTTCTGGCTTTTAATAATTATAGAAATATGTACTGACACTCCAACTCACCAACTCAAAATAAAAAGATTATTTGAAAGGGCAGGAAAACAGAGAAATCAATGAGAAAATTATTCAGGACAGTTGTTGACCTGAGTTTCTGAATCTTAGACAGGAACTGAAGGTTCACAGGCTCACCCTTGTTTTATACCCTCACAGTCCTTAGCTGGGAGAGGGCAAGAGGGAGAGAATGGCTCAGTGGACACTGTTCTCTGAAAACTTCTGCAACCCAGAGAAAAAGCAGAAAACTTTTACCCACTGCAGAAAAAGCAAACTGCAGGAGTCTCCAAGAAGTGATGCTGTGTACAAGGCAGATTTCTTCAAATGATCTTGTGCAGTTTTCCATGAATACAGACATGTGTTCATTATCTCCAAAACATTTGCTTCTTGTTTACTTTTGAGTAGTTACCAAATATGAAACAATTTTTGCTATTTATTTCATTTTTGTCTTTCAGAAGCAGAAAGAGTACTCAGTATATCACCTATGATCTGATATAGCACTTGCTTTACAGCTGAAAACACAGACTGCTCCCTTGAAATAATACTGCTCCCTTGAAATACTTGAAATAATATTAACTTCAAGTTGACTCTCTTGCCTTCTGCCCTTGGAAGCGCACTATTTTCTTACTGGTGAATTCTCTACCAGAGAACACTACTAAGATGCACTTCTGTACACAGTAAGTTCATTCCCAAAGGGACTTCCATGAAAGCGAAGGCAGCGTAGTCCCCCAAGATGGCGTGAACTAGATCAATATGTGCATTCTAGAAGGTGGTACAGTACAGTACCACACAGTTCTTACTATATCATAAAATACTGTGTGCACAGTTCATAGTTTAATTTCTTTTAACAAAACTCCCAAAAGCAAACTCTAGTAAGTCCAAAATCTCAATTAAGAGAGCGCTTGCTTCAGTCCATACCTTAAACAAACATCGCTGGGTGACAAATCAACTGCCGCAGCTCTGGACAGCTATTAAGTCCAGAGGCTCAGCAGATTAATGACCCTCTTCCACTTTTACATAGGTATGGCACAGTAGCTTCTTCCATATCATCATTAATAAAAATTACATATATTAGAGTGTAAAGACGATTTACTGAAGAATTCACAATGACCACCTTTAATAAGAAATATGAAGCTGATCTAAACACCTTTTCTTGGGCATCACAATACTAAAACAGAGTGATCAGGTACTCATCAGGGCTGGCAAGGCAAGGACATTGCTTCAGGTAGATATTTAAGCAGCTCTACTCACCCAGGTCTTTGAACAAAGAGCTGTTTATGGCTCTATGTTCAAACAGCCTGTGGCTGTTTAACAAAATATGACCCTCAACCTCCACTAAAATCCCATACAGTCAATTTGGCCAAGAACAGACACACAGTATCAAACTAGCAGATCTCAGTGCAATACATTACAAATATGACAGTTTACAGAATCTAAAAAAGCTCACCTACCAAGGCACTTATTCTGAATAGCTCTTTTAGGAAATAACAAGCTACCAAACTTTTCCCAATAAACAAACTAAAATAAGAAGTATTAGGTATAAGGAGGAAATCCCTACTACAAAACAGAAAATATTATCTTATATAAATAGTATTTTTAACAGACCTTTTATTAGTAACACGTTCTATAGTATTAATTTGTAGCCTTGTAACTTCATTTATGAGTATATCCAGCTGTGTTAACAATGTGATGCCTCCTCCAGGTGAAAGGTAATTTTGTACAGAAGATCATTACCAAATGATACACACTCCACATAGAAAACATTAAATACATACTCCATAAAAGATATAGAGATCATTTAAGAGTTAAGACTCCTGTTAACATCTCCATTACAATTCTCGAACAAAGCAATTAGATACAGTGGTTTCATATTTGTTTTTTAGTAACAAGATACCTAAGGAAGGATTTCTGTTGAGTGAATAAGAAGATCTGGATGTGTACTTGATTAATGAAGGGAATGACACGATGCCTTGTGAGTTCAGGGATGTAACGCTACAAAGTGAACACCCACATCCCCTCCTACTCTCAGCTTTGCTTATGCTCAGACACACAGAGCAGCCTAGCCCTTTCACCTGAAAAGTCAAACTTCAAGATATAAATTGTCAGCTTGCTCTGTTAATGTGCTTCCTCCCTCACAGACTTAAACAGACGCTGCAAACTGAGCTGGAATTGAGCTGCAATGGAGCTGCTGGCTTAAACACTGAAGACTAACAGCTTTTTAATTGAGTTCTTTGGTGTGACCACCCGTAAATTGTTTTAACCTTCTTTCGGTTTATCCAATACACAGACTCCAGAGGCAATGCAAGGTTATCGCCAATTGTATCTTTATGCATCCTGCCTTAACCAAGAAGTGCAAACATCTTTTGAAGTCACTCTCATTTTGAAACCAGTTTGAAGGCTGTAATGTAAAGCTAGATTCACCAGTCTCCTCAGTGCTTCCTGCTGGCCCACAAACCTGGGAAACGTCCACAGCAAACAAAGTACAGCCTTTAGAGGGTGAAACAGCATGATATACTTCTCCATTAGAAGTGGGCACAACTTTTACATTGATGGTACCTCTCCCCACCCTGTGACTTACCCCATGCTCATCGTACTAACTAGTGCTAAAAATGTTTTCCCACTAAATCTCTGCCTGTTTCACTCTCATTGTTCTATTAAGCAGCCTTTTGCAGTGAGGCTGCTGTGGAAAACAGCATGTGCTGTTGTAGAAAATTTAATAGGGTATACAGTCCTTACGGCACTTGCAAATGTGCTGGAGTGCAAGCTGTTCAGACCTGGATTTGAAAAGCACAGCTTTAATCTCCCAGTGACTACTCTACTGTTGATATCATTATTTCTATCAGTCTCCATAAACTACAAAGAGCCTTGAGGCCTGTCATTTACTGTCTCTCTCTATATATATGTTAACACATAAGGTGAAATTCTCAAAGGTATTAAGAGCAAAAAATTGCGAAGGGCACCTGGTGCAATTTTCAGAGGTTTCAAAGTAGTTTAAATATGTAATTAATTTCATTGGAAGTTAAAATATTGACAGCAAATACCAGTAAGGCTCTGTCTGCATCGTTGAGAGTCTAAATACAGTAGAAAATCTGGCATATTGTTACTAACCCACAGATCTGATGATTTCCTCAGACTAAACAGAAGCAATAAGATAAAGACAGAAAAACTAAACTGCCATAAATAAAGAAGTACCATCTTTCCTCAGCTGAACATCAGCAGTTGGCCTCATAGTTTCTCAGTTCAAGTACTTAAATGCTGACAGATTTCCTGAAGGTAGTACAGAAAGTTTCTACAGAGCAATCATTTCCCCAACAAAACTGATTATTTGAAAATAAATTTATCTTCTCTCTTTTAATATATAGCTATGTAAAAGTTTCTATATTCATATGTGTAGTAAATTGTGTGTGTGTGTGCGTGTTGTGTTTGTGCATATGTGTGTGCGTGTGTGTGTGTGTGTGCTGGTTGACTGAAAATGTAGCAGAATATATAGCTTTGTTTCCATCAATAAGCTCAGTGACCACTGTAACTTGGGAGTTCTTTCTTGCTGGGTACATATAGACAGTTTCCTCTCTTCTGTCCAAAACTGCACACACATTTTGTTCCAGTCATCCAGCCAAACTGTTATATTTGAAGTGAATTTATGAGTCTATGTGAGATGCACAAATGAATTCATGGCTTAAATGTAGTTATTAATATCGTCTGTATTTCCTTCTTTGTATTTATTCATTCTTGAATTCCTTGCTGGTTATCTCTCTCTAAAGGCATCTAACGTTTCTGTCTCCAGCTCTCTGCATAAGTCAAAGCTTTTACCCAAGCAGAGGATAAAATCTTTGTTTGCTTAATGGGCCCAAAGGAGCTAAAAAGTGAAGTACCTGTATTCAGGAATGCTTACAGTCATAAATCCTTCATTATCAAGGTAATTTTTCACAACTAGTATTAAATACTTCAAGAGACTAAAAAAATAAAAAAATTACAATAAGTGAGTTGTTGCCAGGGTGATAGAAATGAGATGATGTGTGAAATGCCTGAACTAAGGTGGTAAATGCTAGAAAAACAGACTCATACCCAACAGCATGTTTAGACAAAGATTACAGTATTCTATGGAATCTCATTCCTCCCTTCCTCCATTCCCCAGGAGAAAGACTTTTTAGGAAAAAAACTGGAGATGGGAGTCTCCAATCCATTCAAGACCCATCAATGTGGATATTTGAGATTCACACTACAAGTGACTTACTCTGACAATAGTTTTCTCTGCACTGTTATGAAGTGTCACATAGCTCTAAACTGTGAACCTCTGTCCCCTCCCAAAGTAAGAACCACAGAGCTGTGAGGCTGAGCTCTGAGATCTATAAGATGGAATAAAATTTATGGGGTTCCTTTCGCTCAGGGAACAGGGACCATATCTGGAAGCCTTCCAACGTATCCAGATTCAGGAAATAGTCCCATGGGTGAGTGTGTTTCATCATGCATCTATTAGTTAACACTTTTGACATTTAGAAGACAATATTGTTTTATTAAATAGCTAAATAGCTATTTGTTTCCAAAACTTTAAAGATAATTGTATAAAGATAAGTACAAACAGATCTAGACCCTTTGTACAGGTCCATTCAGTGTAAAAACATAGGCACAGACACGGTTTTCCCCAAAGGCACAAAAATCAGTAAATAAAATTTAGCTATAATAAACCAGTTATGAGTTTTGCATTGATTGGTATCAGTCTGAAATAAAACGGCATGATGAACATTAGCACCCACATCATTTTCTATACAGAAAAAGAGAAGCATACCTCATGGTGACCCGCTATTGCAGCAATGTGAAGGGCTGTCAAAGCTCCATACCCAACTTGCTGAATGTCAGCTCCACCATGCAGCAGTGCTGTTAAGAGTTCTGCATTATCCTAAAAGATGTGAATACAAATCATGTTATTTTTGGGATACAGCTCTAACAACTGTAGGGAGGGAGCCTAACAGAGCCACAAAGGTCCATCCCTCCCCAGCTATTACACTGCTGCTACTCAAGCAAAGGGATTATATATAGGTTCATGACAGCAGGAACATAAGAGTGCAAGGGAAGGATTGGAGAGGAAGGTTGTCCTGGACACCAGAAGCCTCTCTCTAGCTATCCTGAAGCCTGTATCTTTCTAAAATGGTTGCTCTTTCTGATTTTATGATATTTTGAAAGATCACTCAGTCTCTGAACCATTATTAAGTGCTCATACAAACCGTTTAAATGTCGAAACAAATACACTGTCAAACATAGAAGAAGGTACTTGATGACTTCCCTAGATAAATAAACAGGATGTAAGCTAAATTCTGAACTATGAGCTTATTTTTCATATTATTTTACTTCTTTGCTGTCATGCACAGAAGTATTGCTATCACTTCTTCCAGGTATAACACCAGCAATGGATATAATCAATTATAGTATTAAAAATTAATTTGAGAAAATACATTAAGAGTCACAATACCCAGCAGTACAACTGTCCTTGTAAACTCTCCTTTACCAATAGTAGTGAAATTAAGCATGGAGAAGTGAAAAGATTTGCCTGGGGGCAGCGACAGAGCTAATGGAAGAGGTTAGGCCATCTTTCTCACCATCGTTTCTTCTAACTGCACCAACCGCAGCTCTTAAAATGTTTATTCAGGGCAGCCCAGGGATAAGCCTTCTCCAACTCATATTCAGTGTCTGCTGAGCAGAAATGCACACAACATAAGGGCAAAAGAGACCCTAAAGCTCCAACCTTTCTCATAGTTCTCTGTTCCTTGCGAATAGATACTGAAGCAGTTCTGGTCAGAAACGAATCAATGCCAGAGAAGAAGCTGTGAAAGCATGTCTGTGAAAGCACAACATTTGTTCATACCGAAATGGTTTTCCTATTTCCAGGAGATATTAGCAATTTCTCTTTGATAATAACAGATAGCACAACTTTATCTCTCTCTTACTATCAAATAGTTTTAGGTCTTGAAGCATGGTAGTTGGTGGCATAATGGACTGGAGGTCGTAAAATTAAACTAGCATAAGAATTACAGGAAATAATGCAAGAAATAGGAAATGGTCCTCTTATCATAATTAGGAGAGAAAAAGTAGCTTACGTTGAAAGTACAGCCAGTTAAGCCGGGGATTTTGTCAAGCATAAGACATTGCAATCCATGGCATCATAACTTTTAGGTATCTTGCTTCATGATGGAGACTTCAGCCTGTTTCTCGCTCAGCTCTCTACACATACCTGGGGCAAGTTTAGATATCTAATCACAGGATTCAAGACATCCAGCACCCTTAGCAGGGAACCGGCTTAGCTGGTCCATAGCAAACTTTGGACCTTTTTCTTTGTACCTTTGGACCTTTTTCTTTTGTACCTTTTTCTTCCCACCTTCAGACAAAATTACAAAAGCTGCTCCTTACATCCTCTCTTCTTCCTTTCCACTCCCATCTCCCTTTACCATAGCTAAAACACTGCTGCGTTGGCCATCTAGGGTCTGGCGCCTTCCTCAAACAAACAATACTCACAACTGTATGTCATACGTCCCAGGGAATACTGTCACTATTCAGCTGATGCTACACTTTCCTTTCACTCTCCTTGACCTAATGACCCTCCAGTTCATTTCAACAGGAAAGATGAATGTACAATCACTCCAGGACAGCCACAGCTTGCTGACTGGCAGGACGAATTTCAATTTTCTTCAAGAGAGACTTTGGCCTTCTTCATCCCGGACGCATCTTCTAATCATCTGATTATTGCACCAAATAAAAGGCAAACCTTCCCCTCTTCTTTTTGAGGAGAACGACTGTGGCTGGGATGATTTCTGCTGTAACCGGAACACCATCTATCATATCAGTATTCTCTCACAATATAGGGTGAGAAATATCACTGTGATCATGAGAAGGCTTTGGCATGACATAGGTGGCAACCTGCCTAACCTTCTACCAGCTCCAACCTTCTGTCTAACCTAAGCTTCTATCAGCTCTGAACCTACAACAAATTAGAATGCTAGCTACCATGAGAGCTTTACAGGATAATTATAGGCCTATAACTATAGGCCATTATATCCTTGCTACTGGTTGGTTCTTAATAAATAAATATAGTAGTGAAGAAAATCAATATTGCAGCTGAATGTAAAACTTGAGGAATAAAAAAAAAAGGCAAAAAATAAATTGTAAAATAAAGCCCTTTGAGATTATTTCTATTAAGAGTTATAACAGCAAAAAGAGTACTCCTCTCTCTTGAGTTGCGACACATGATTTAATCAATATTTGTAAAGTAATGTCATATTTTCATGGATGACAGTGTAAAAACACATGCTGATTTCCTGTGCATGGGCTCTTCATAGTCATTTTCCTATGCACTGTACATGTTATAGATATTTTCACTAGAAGTAGCAGCTAGAGAGCTCAGAAAACTAAAACTCCTGAGTTCTGATTGCACCAGTTTCCTTTATAATAATTTACCTTATAAGCTGCCAAGTGCAGAGCTGTAAATCCATTCCGTGTTAACCTGGATGGGCGCAGTCCTTTTAGCATAAGAGTTCTAATATGTGATTTGTTACCTTTAGAATAAAAATTGTATATCAAAGTCATTTACAGAAAAGGGCATGCAAATGAAGTAAATGAGAAAAGAGCTTCCCATAACAGTTAAACACTTGGCAAGTAACCACAAATATATGGACTTCTTGTAGCTAAGATCACATCTTGAAACTTTTATCCTCAATTACGTGATTCAAAACGCATTGATGACTTCTTGTAACTTTCTGCATTACAGAGATTTAGAATTGCTTGGCTAGCACGAAGAAGCGTTTAGCTGAGTTTGAAAGCAAAGACAAATGGGTAAGTGATTTGCTGAGCTGAGGCAAGTCATAAGAAATATGCAGACATCCTCAGAATGGGACCCTGCATCCTAGATCCTTGAGCATTAGGGACTATCTCCTTATTCACTGGGAGAGTAGATCTGGCCCTGTATTTACTCGCTGTTTGTTCACATCTCAATAAGAAGGATTTGTTAGAGACAGTCGAACTTCTAAAGAAACAATCTCCTCTTTTAACATCTGGACTATATTGCAAAGAACTCCGTAAACTGAAAGACAATTTAACAACCTCTAGTTTCTCAGACTCTCACTTTTTTCTCCTTTTGAGAGCTGAAGCACTGCTCTGCTGTTCGACACAACGTTACAGGAACAGTAATTTCTAGGGACACTACTGAATCTCAGCATGGACAAGTAGCTTTACTACCTTTCTTATGCAACATGATGATCTCAAAAATTGTATCTGCCTTCTGAATACCTAGGACAGTAAATAAGTGCAGTAGTGAGTCTAATACCTTCTCTCCCTCCTTGAACTGTTCACATATAGGATGCAACTCACACCACACGTTTTCTTAAACCTCCTCTTAGTAATCCCACCAATTGCTCTAATGCTACTAACCACTGATGTCATCTTTGGATATGATCCTGCACTCTCTTAAATTAAGAGTAAATATCCAATTGACTTTCAATAGTGCAGGATCAGGTCCTCCCTAGTTATAGGATCTGGAACTAAGATTCAGCAAGGCATTTATGCATGTTATTCTTAAGTATTTTGTAGAGCTGAAACCATAGCGTAAAACACTCTGCTTCTCCCAGCCAATTTCTGTTGAATATTGTAGACCAAGTGCTAAATGTGTGCATGCACTAATGACTCACTATCTGGATAAGATAGCAGCAGTGCAGATCAGAATGAAACATTCTACTGCTAATATGTTTTTATGAAAAACTCAGAAGCTGTCATACACTATTTTCTTGGATACTGTTATTTGCTATCTGCACAAATCCTATCAGCTGATATTTTTCACTAGTGCATTTGACTTATTCTTCTTTAAGTAGTACGAAATAGAATAAGAGATATTTTCACTATACTAGAAAAATAAATGTTCCATGTCTAGCAAAATTTTGTTAAAAGTGGCTCCCTATCTTGGAGTCAATACCATGTACAGAATACAGAAATGTAGAGAAGTACTATAGAATGAGTATGACTAACATATATGATTAACGTATATTAGCATATACATATAGCAAGGAATTTTGGATTAGTTGAATATCTGCAATTAAAACATGCCACATTATCTACCAAAACTTTTCTTGGACTGAAAAATCAGTTATAATGGAATTCAATGTAACTGGATTCAACCATCTTGGCAACAGAGTTTAGGGAAATACTTATAGATGCTTATCCAGCTGTCAACAAGGACAATGCAAAGAAAGAAATAGATTAAAAATATAATGTTCCTGACAGTTATTAGACAGAACAAATCACTAACCATGTAAATAACAGATTGAGAGAACATCAGATTTCAGATACTTACCTCCACATATGCAACATAAATGGAGAAGAGAGAGCCCATTTTCTGTGCGGTAATTTAAATTGACTTTGCAGAAGGCTTCATCGGAGCTGAAAAAAGAGATTTTACAGATGATTACAGTTTTCATTCTCCAGCATATTTTCGTTCATTTGGAAGCATTTCAAAAAGAAATCTCAGTGTACTTTTTTTGGAGACACAGGACTAAATTCGGACCCCTGTTTCCTCCCTGTAAATCTAGAAATACTTTACTGATATCAGTGGATTAATCCACATTTATTTTTCAGTAAATTACATCAGAGCCTAACTCATATTCTTTTCTGAATAATCCTGCTAGTCAGTCACAGTATAGACATGCTGAAATCAGCTAAATAAAAGAATAAATAGAATAAAAAAGAGAAGAAAGATTCCTTAGAAAAGTCAGATTCCTCAAAAAAGTAAATAATCTGGACAAAAAATGATTTCTTCCTTGATACAAAAATAATGCGAAAAATTAGGATAATCTGTGTATTCATTCTAAAATGACCAACATGTTACATGCATAGAATTAGAGGTGAACAATGACTAAGCTGTCAAAAGAATACCCAGAAAAAGGATAATCCTTTCAGAAGGTAAGTTTATGTTCCCCAAACAAGATCACAGAACCAGTGTATATGACCATTCCACTAAAGCATGTATATGGAAACACTAAGGAAGCACATACACTCTTAGTCTTTCCCGCCTTTTTAAATCTTACACGTGTAGCTCAGACTTTCTCAAGAATTGTACATGGGCTTTCCCCTTTCAGCATTGACTATATTATAATTTCTGATTTTACTACTGAATGGAGGTCACTGAATCCCAAAATTACTACTTTACACAAATTATCAGCATTTAAGCTGTGGTTTCATCCCAACTTCTCTTTTCCTCTGAATCGGAAACTTGAGGGTAGGAAGAGGGACATTTGTTTTTGAAACTTTTGGTGTTTTCAAATTTGCTCCTTTAAAGCTTCCTGCACTGGGACATGCAAGTCTTCATGTGGACTGCTTCTCAGGAGGAAGTCATCAGAAAAGCCAAATAGTGTGCTTGTTTGGGAATCTGGAGACCATCAGGTTTCAAACTTGTGACACAACTTTGAGTGCTGTCTTGCCTAGGAGTCCTGGATGCTTCACCATTCACCAAGAAAACTGGAAGGAAGTAACCAAAGAAATAACTTGGCAGTGATTCAAGGAAAAATGTTTCTAAAGTATTTTAATGAATGGAATGGCCTTTCCAAACATTACATTCCTGGCTTAGGATTTGCATTTCTAATGGAATACTAAGTCCTAAGAAGGTCTGTGAGTGTCAGACCTGAGAGGACAGAAGAAGGAGCAGCTGAGTCTAGGAAGGGGAGAAGTACCATAGAGAGAGGTATCTCAGAGAATTTTTTTCCTCGAAGGACGCATTAACGACAACCAGAGTTACTTTTATGCATCAGAAGGAAGACGGATCCCATAATGTTCAAGAGACAAGTGTGATTTTATAGCTCTGGTTTTTGACTTTGGTTTACTGCACTGGAATGTGATATATTAAAATAGAATTTTAAAACTATTTATATATCCTCATTTTGACTCATTAACTTCTAGTGAAATGCTGCTGGTTTTAATATAGGCAATTAAAACATTATAGTTTTTACTCACATCCTACCAAGGTAAGGCATGTTTGCACATAAAACTCTCTGACAACTACATGTCACTTATGTATTGTGACACTGACAACATGAAGCTCAATTTAATGTTTAATTTTCCTCCACATTTTTGATACTCTCCGTTATATTTTTATATAGCTTAATGACTTTATTATGCTCTCTAGGGCACATAAGGATGAAGTGAATAATTAACATGAAGTAATTATTATTAATACATTTCTACTAATATGCCCTTTAAATAGGATGAATACCAGTTCTGACTCATTAAAAATGACATTCAGCATTTGTATTTGATGCTCTGTTCTTTTTTAGCACAAAATGGAGAGCATAAGTAAAAATGTTACAGCCTTTGCAGTTTTAGAATTCATTAAGTTCTGTTTTCCTTTTCCATACAGCACGTGTAAAGCTCCAAAACCAAATTCATTAATAAAATAAAGCTAGAAATACTGGCAATAAAGAGAATGGATAATAAACTAAAGATGCCTCCAGGTTCACAAATAAACATAAACAGTATCTTTGCGTAAGACTGAAGAGAGTGTGACTGGACATCTTTATTTCACTTGCTAAATGACCATCCTGTTATGGGAAACCATAGTTAACCTCTCCATAGTTAACCTCTCTAACCTCTCCATAGTTAGAGCTGCGCCCATCTCCAGTTATAAAGTCCTATCTAAACATGCACTACATCTTTCCTTGGAAAACTCTTTTTTGTCTGAAGTGCCACATTTATTTTTTTTATCAACGGAGAGAGTTTCTGAAAAGTATAAAGGAAAATGATCACTCAATTTTTTTAGTTACAGATGGTTAAATAATTACCCTGCCTGAATATTTTAGCTTTTGCTGCTAAGTCTCTCTGTTTTCTTTTAGCACAAATTGTCTTGTTAGTGCTCCTACAAACTTTCTAGGTAATTGCATTTTTTTGAAACTTAACTAAATGCAGAAATTAACAATATTTCTTGTGCAGAACACGGACTTGAGTCTGTCAATAGAAGTTTGTTTTTATCCATTCAGTATAACTGTGATCAGACATTCTGGTTTAGCAGAACACTTAGATTTGTATATATAAAAATCCATTCCACCTGAGTAGCACCAGTAAACATATTTAACATGCTTACAATTCCAAATAAGGCTCTAATACTTCTCTCTCCTTTAAAAACATAAATCTATGCAAAATCCCCCCATAGCAAGTTAACTACTATTAAGCAAGGTGACACTTGGGCCATTTCTTCCAATAAATATTTTAACAATTTATTTTGCAAATAAAAATTAAAATGCAGACAAAGCCAGAGACCTAGTTTTACTTCTGTTCTCTTAGTTGGTAGTAATGAATTATTCCAGCTTCTCATAGGCTGCTTTTTTTCTTTTATTTGGTTTCTTTCCTTTGTTTCTTTCAGTAAAACTGAAAAATTTCTGTCCTAAAAGAAATTCTTCTGGTTCAATATGTGTTATCATCCTAAGCTAGGAATGAAATCTGTGTTTTCACATTATTTTTCATGAAAATTGACAACATTAATTTGGAAGTGTTGAAATACCTTTTTTTAACTGAAAGAAGGCATTTTAACTTCTGGATGTTGAAAGTTCCGTTTTCTGTTTACTGAAGTGGTTTGAGAGCTATTAAATTGCAACATGAAGTGGTAGTTTGGGCTCTGGAGGTTTTTCTTATATGGTAGGCTAGCTCCAGGACTGGATCTCCTCAGTGCTGAAGCATCCAGTTAACATGACTACAATTACCTAGAGAACGGGCAGAACGAAGAAAGCCAGTACTGCAGTACAAGAGAAGTACTTCCCCAGGAATGTCAGTCCACAGAAGAAAATGGGGTTGTGAGCCAAATAAAGTTCTGTCCTGGGGTAAGTAAATCAATTAAAGATTCATATCCAAATTAAATTTTGTGGTTTGGATCAGCTCAAATTGAAATTTAATATTTAATATTTAAAGAATATACATTTTCTCTGTGAGAAGTTTTGGCTATTCTCTCTCAGAAAGCCACCTTTTTTGAACTACCTTTCCTATCAGAAAGGTCATGCTAATGGGAACTCCTGACTGCCTGTATTCAATACTGAGATTTTTATAGTATTCAGTTCATTGCATAAGGAACAGTGGATGATTTGAAAAGGGCATAGGCCTGATAAAAGCAGAGCATTATGTTTATTTATAAATTTAAAAATTTGACTTATTTCTCCAAAGTTGTGTGTGTCAGGGTGATTAATTCTTACATCAGTCTAGATTTTCATATGCATTCCTTAGATGACAGGTATCGTGTTAAGGAAACTTGTTTTTTTATTTCCTAAATGTAAACTGCTCTGATGTGGAACATTTTTTCCACACATTACAGTCATATTTACTTCTCTCTGGGGACGGCCCTTCATTTACCACTTCTGCTTTACTAAGAGGGAAAATGTTTTGCTCAGTAAAATAAAAACTCTTCACCACGTATGTTTTAGCTCCATGCAACTCTTCTCCACCATATTGTGATTAATGATAGTGCTATAAAACTCATCTATTCTTCAGGTTTTCTTTCAGGGGCAATTGAGGGAAAGATAAATTCAAGGCTTGGGAAACAAGTCCTTTTAGTTAACTTGTTTTTTGTTTTAAATGTTGGGTATGTATCGATGCACACACTGTACATATTGATACACTGCAGTGACTGCATTGTGGTTTGCTTTGTTGGAAGTACAAATTTTCAAAGTCTCAAAATTAGAAATTATTATCACATTGTAAAGTCATGGCTCCTGCTTGAATTTTAGTGTTTAGTATAGCCGTCAAGATTCATATTCCTAGCTTTTAATGTGTGGCCAAGAATCCTTTAGCTACATGTTTAAATATTCCTCGTCTCTCAGTTTGAAAAATGAAGAAAAAGTTTCAGTTTGGCTCTCTCTTAGTGATATTCAATTTTAATAATACTTGAATTCTTATATATGGAAAAAATGTAATGTTTTGGTGGCAAAAGATTGCAAGGAAAGTTTTATACGTTAAAACTTGTGGTCCTTATTGAAAATGAAAATTGTGGCTTATAAGACTACATTCAAGGCTCAGTTTTATCTAGGGATCCTCCTAAATCCTTTCTGAAGACATAATTGCATTTCTGGGGAAATCAAATTATGACTCCTTATTTGTAGGATAGTCTTTTTGGTAAACCATCGTACTAACAACTCTGAGATACAGCAGTAGTCTAAGGACAACTTTTATCCAAGATAAGAAATCACAGGTGCCATACTAGTTACAGGTTCACTTCCCACTATTATAACTGATTTTTTTCTCTACTACAGTATAATCGTCCCACTGACCTGTGCACGCATTCCTAAGTGTAAAATGGGGATAATGACACCCCTTTCCTTCTGTCTTTCCTTCTACCTTCCTCCTTCCTTTGTCTCCTTTGTCTTATTGATGTTGCAAAACCTTCAGGGCAGGGACTTAAGAGCTACCTATTTTGTTTCCAGCAGTTAAATTACCATCTTCTTCTTAGTGTGCAACTGTCCACTTTCTCAGTCTTAACTTTTTTTGATAAATGGATTTGCTTTAATAATGGGAAAAAATATTAATTTCTCCGGTGTTTCAGAGATTAGAAGTCTTCAGAAAATAACCACTGCTACTGTTGAAAACATTTTTACATAGTCAAGATCAATTTTTTACATAGGTAAGATTTGGATTATAGATTCTCACAAAATCTGACTGATTTGATTACTCATGGATGAAGACAAGTTTCAGAACTGAAACCTTTGGCTGAGTCCTCAGTTCTGACTAAAACTTTAAAAAATCTTTCCAATGCAATGTAATCGGTGTCATTAATTCCCATTTGCTTTGATAAAGAAGAGCAGTGCTCCTTATCTAAGAAGAAAGGTTTGGCTGACATTTTAGAGAGACGTACATAAGGTGGTAAGATAGACAGACAAGCTTAACTGCTAAAGGTCAGCTAACCTTAAAGTTTATTGTTTCTTTTTTCTAATGCCTAATTCAGGAATTAAACACTTCACCATATACTTCAATGGTCTTGCTCATCTTAAGATGATGAGCGCTCTTGCTGTAATTTGTTAAGATAATTTACTTCTAAACAGGGTTAAAATTAGGCAGGTGCTGAAGTACCTTACTGGATCAGAGCCAAAGTGGTCAGCATATTGCAGAATCAAGCTCAATGTAGTTTTTTCAGTTAACAGGTTCAGTGATAATTATGTTATCTGAAAGTGAGCATGATGAATAATTTATGTGACCAATTTGGCTTTTTTAGGCCTGTGATTTATTTCTGATTAGAATCCACTTTTTTTCAAGTGCATTTTATGTGCGAAATTATTTACCTGATCATTTGTTTAAATTAACTTATTCACAGTCAACGAGTTGGGGTGTTTTCTGTATTTGAGCTTTTCAGAAAATGAACATGTAAGTATGCTACTTGGTTCAGTGAACATGGTTTTTAGCATGAGCTGTCCTGAGAAAGTGATTGCAATTATAAATTTGAAATTCACTGTCAGAAGATATTCTCCTTGTGTATTTGTTTAAAATTTGTCACTTCAGCAATATTCCTGTCTAAAGAAGCAGGTGAGCACAAACGGAAAGTACAGAACCAAATGAGACATCTCATTAAAGCTAATTCATTTACAAAACTATGTACTTTTGTTATAAAATGTTGGCACTAGTAATTAACAGCCACTAATTATGGTACTATGCTGTGGGACTCTGGCCCAGAACTATAAGGACACATTCCCCAAAACAGACATTCCATATATGCGAAACTCCTTCCATAAGAAAATAGCTGAAACTGAAAATACTGCTTAATAGCAAATACTCATTTAAAATGCATTCATACATAGGTTTCAAGATTATTTTACCTGAAAACATGCTTCAGTTCTGTCAGCTCCTTTTCTTTGATCTGCAGGTCATCTTCTAATCGTTCCATGATTATAGCGTACGATTCACTAACTTTCTTCTTCCATTCATCTAACAACAAAAAACCCCACTGATTGATAATACACTTCAAAATGTAAAAAACAGGAACTCAAAATGTCTCATTAACCAGGAACTCAGGACTTAATTGTTATACATCCAATTATGCACTATTTTAATACAGTATTTTTCTGTTAAGGTATGAATGTTCAGTTAAAATGATATTACAGCTATTAAACAGTTCTTGCTGCAGCTAATATAGATACACATACACTGATTTCATAGACAGCTAATACATACAAATCTTTATCAGAAACATTTTAATTTGAATAAGCTTAAACTATAAGTTGCCTTTGTTAATTCTTATTTCCTAAATCCCATCAGCATAGACACACAGCATAGAAAAGGTCTAGTTTTAAGGATTTTCTAATGAAATGTGAGTTAAATCAACTTGATAAAATAAGTTAATACGATCATATGTAATAGGATAAAGAAATCTAATTTATTAGCATTTTGTCTTCTTTCATAGACTCTGCATGTGATTTGGATTAAGCCATTCTTCACGTAAACCAAGAACAATAAAATACCTTATCCTTGAACTATAGAGCAAACTAGCAATGAGTTATTTGCTAAGACATCATTTGCTGCTTGTTGATGGATGTATGGTATATTGTATTTAAAAAAGCAACATTAATTACCCGTGCAAGTTTGGGTTGGTCTGGATTTATAATTTCCCATTTGTTCAATATATCTTCTTTGTTTCAGCAAAGTTCTTGCAGTAATATGACTCCTTGTTCAAGAGCAGTGACAGTCCTACTGAAAAATACTTTGATAGTCTCTGGCTAAAAATAAACTCTGTGCCAAATGGAATGTCATGCAACAATGACACAGAGCAAAACAGTGTGTGCTGTCAAGCGTAAAATTATAAAGGTACCTAATCAGTTTGTTTAAAAATCTACTGTCAAAATAGATTGCAAATATTCCAACAGAAATACTTTCTTTCATCTCTTGAATACTTAAAACTGGGGAGAAGCAAGTAATTTGGCAGCTTGCTACCAATCTTCTTGAGAAAAATTAATTTATGAAGCTGAGACCCAAGAATATTTTCAGGATCCCCAAAGAGTGGTGAGGGCCCCCAGGTTAAAGAGGCCAGTGATGACCTCAACGTATAACATGAAAGTGTATTTTAACACATGGGATGACTTTGGATCATCTGGGTTATTTTAGTTATAAAGTGTAAGCTGTGTCATGTCAGAAAACACTGGCTTCTTACATTTTGGTGGTATTTGTACATGTTGGTATGCCAATGGAGTTTCACTGAGTTAGACTAGAAAATGAGTTTGCTATCAGGAATTCAGTATGTTTAGTTTGTATTCTTCTATCCTTAGACGCACATCACAGAAGAATCATCACAGAAGATATTCATCCCCTCAAAACAACTGGCAGCAGCAGCAGCTCCACTAGCTAAAGCTTCCATCAGGTTGCTAATGAAGGAAGTGACCTGGAGAACACTGCGCATCTCTTTCACAGTTAAGAAGAACGAAGGGGACTCCTGAGTTTGTTTTGCTGCTTTTCCTGCCCTAGATAGAATTTCTGCAGAAAGGAACAAACTCAAGCTGCTTTGTTTATATTCCAAGCAGATCAGGCACAAGACAGCTGTGTACCAGGATCTGTATGGATGCATTAATAAACATTGTGCTCAGTCTTAATTCATCCTGTCTCTTAGTATTTTAGCTTGTAGCCAATGACACAGTAAAGTTGTAAAAAACCCAAGATCCAGTTAGGCTGAAGGGTGGACAGAGCAAACTGTCATCTGTTTGTACCCATATATACAATCAATACAGATTGTGTGCGTGGATGCATTCCTCTAAGAATCTCTGTTTGAGAGCCCTGAGAGAAGACTGGTTCTCTCTACAGAAAAATTAGAGACCAAGAGGTTAATAGGCAAATAATACCATTTTGCACTTGCACAAACTGTATCTCCTTTGTAATCTGGTTAGCACTGATCTGCACTTCTGTCTTCTACCTCTTTCCTATCTGTCTCCCCTTGTGTTCTATCAAATAGAACTGATTTTCTCAACCACTATGGTATTCATGCTGGTTTCTGTATGTGTGTACACTTTTACTTCTTTTACTGCTTTTTTAATTGCTTGATATACATAAATCTGTATATGTATGTATGTATTTATTTATAAATTATGTTGATTGACCTTGGCAGCGGTACTAAGTTCTTGGTTTTCTCAGATAAGGATTTCTTCTCAGATAAGGATTTCAGGTAAGAAGATATGTACATAAAATACACGTATATAAAATCTTCAACATGCTGCATCCCAATGTAAACAAACTAGCACTCCTGTGATAGTTTCTGACACAGCATGAGTGCATCCATTTATGTGCACTGATTTACACATAAAACCAAGCATGTATTTCAAAAGACTTTGAACTGCTTTGACAATATACCCTGTGATATGCAACCAAATATTTGCAAAAAGGCATCAGCCTCTTAACTGATACTCCACATCTAGTTGCCAAGCAACTAGAAGAGCTATAAATATAGCACCATAATGGGTATCTACTCTCCTGCTACTTTTATGAGCTTAATGTTGTTTGTTTTTCTTCAAATTTCAAAAAAGCAGCTAGGGGTGTGCAGCCAAAGGCAGGTGTTTTGGCCAACCCTCCTGTCTGCTGGAGAGCAGTAAAAGGCCTGCCAGGACATACTCTCCTCGGCGCACCTCTCCCCAGCAGTCTGAGCTAAGTCAGGAAGCGGGTGAATAATGAATGCATTTCTTCTTTTTATATTAACGTAACTCTTCTGAACATTTCATTTTTCCATCCATTCATGCAGGAGGGTGTTAATCTTACTAGGATATTTACCTTGCATTATTAGGTAAGGTAGAACTACCTCTTGCTCCATAACCATGCTTTCAGGAGCAGCGCTGAGAGGAACGGCCTGCTGCTGGAAGCTGCTGGGAGTCTCCAGCTCTCTGACCTGCCCTGCGTCTCTACAGCCGTCCCTGCTGCCATTGCCACACGGCACTCCTGTAAGGCAAACCCCACACTGTTTATTCACCCTCTGCTCCAACTGCTCAGCGCTGGTATTTCTCAGATGTTTAAGGCTCAGCTCCTTCCTCGCCCCCGCCAGGCACGCGTGGGCAGCACCGCCCTGTGCCCCCCTGTCTTCCCCCTGACTCCAGGTGCCCGTGCCTGGTGGCAGGGCAGGAGGGAAGCCGCCCCAGCGCCTGTCGCCTGGGAGGACTCTGCCTGTAGCGGCGCTGTGCCTTCGGCCCCCTTCCCCCCCCAC